GGAGAATAATTTAGAATTAGTCAGCTCCTTTCTTTTCTTTGTGCATCAAATAAAGCTTTGATCAGAATTGGCTGTTATCGAGGAAATTTGCTTCAGGACTCATATCTTAACTGATTCAGCAAACATATTTTTGGGTTTTGTTTCATCCAGACAAGTTAGTCAATTAAGTAGCAAAATATGACCAAAATAAATTCCCATTAACTCATTCCTTTTTTTAAGAACGCTTTTATGACCATGACTTTGAAAAAAAGTCCTTTTCCTGAGGTTTTTTAATCGTTTTTTTGCGTTGCATACGAAAACGCCATTCGCAGTTAGGAAAAGCGATGAAACTATTTATATTCTTGGGCTATATATTATATTCAGCGGCACTTAATTTAGGACCAGATCGCACTTGAAACGAATTTAAGCATTCTATTTTTTTGCAGGAAAAACAAGGACGGAAATTACGCAATTTCCAAATTTTGGAGGCGGTCGCATCAAACTAAATTTTTTTGATCAATTAAAATTTGACTTCTGGACGGCCCTGTCAATCACAAAACTATCTCGCTAATAAACAAACTGAAGGAAAGAATTAACCAGATTTTTGCGCCTTCCGCGTTTATGTGGAATTTTGTCTCTTGGTCTTAATGACACAAAGTAGCGTTTTAAGTATGTTGGTGCAGTATCAGCAGTTCTTTTGGCGGTAGCATTGACTTTTAGAACTCGCACCTTTCAGTTAAATACATTAATTCTTTCATAATATGACATATGAATGGTTAAAACTAAAATCACTTGTTTTGTCGGAATTAAAAGTTTTCGAGGCAAGACTTTGGCTCTTAAGAAGATCACTTACAAGATTTTAACAATTCGCAAAAATTTGGCAAGTTGCTTTAGACTTGGAGAAGTACTTATTCTACGATAATTGTTGACGGAATTGTAACTCTTAAAAAACAAAATAAGCTCTAGGGTTAGGGATTAGGTGTGGTTCAAAGCATGACAACTAACTCCTACAGAGGTCTTTTTTCATAGTGGATGGTTTTACTCTGACTGCTAGGGTTTCCTTGAGTTGTGATTCAAACTGCCTCTGTAGATTAACCAGCTTAAATTTATCGGGGCCTTTCATCATAGAGGGGTCTATATCCTTCTATCTACTTATATGAAAACGCTTAAGTTAAATACCTTGTCATCCTTCC